GAACCATTCTTTTTTTAATCACTTTTTCCACAATTTTTGATAATGAAGGCAGCAGGGATATTGGTCTGTAATTGGAGGCAACATCCTCCCCTTGTTTAAAGATTGGAATCTCAATAGCTCGCTTCAACAGATCTGGAAAATCGCAGCTCAAAATAGAGGTATTAATACAATAAGCTAATGTTGACAGAGCTGATATGGGTAGATTTGCCAGAACCCTTGTTGAGATATCATCCCAGCCCGATGAACCGCTACTCTTACTCTCTCTCAAAATATCTAAAATCTCCTCAGCAACTACAGGTATGAAGTAAAATGAATCTCCAGACTTAACCTCCAGGTGAGATAGTTGGTGAGCCAAGGTACACGGAATGCTTCTGCCAAGCTGAGAGGCAATTGAGCAATAAAAAGAGTTCATTGCGTTGGCATCCAATTGTGAGTTGTAATTATTATCCACTTTGTTTTTGCCTCGCATGGAGTTAACAATGCGCCATGTTTCTCTCTGTTTGTTACCAGCAGACTCCAGCCTATCGGCATAATATTTATCCTTAGCAAGTTTTATAACCCTTCGGTAAATCTGTCGGTATTTGTTAAAATAATTCATAAAGAATGCATTGCTCAGTGAAAATTTACGGAGAGTGTGCAGACATCTCATATTTCTTGCAGAAACTTTTAGACCCTTAGTTATCCAAGGTTTTTTGGCTCTAGATTTTACCTGCACAATGGGGAATTTAGCATTAAAAATTTCTATCAGACTATTGTAAAACGACAGCAACGGTTGCTCGCCATTACAGAGTTTTTCCCAGTCGGTGTCCAAGCAAGCATTGAATGTCTTTTATATCGTAGTGTTAGGCCGGCAGATTGGGGTGATATACCGAATTTTGCTCCTAATTTGGACAATCTAAACCCTCAACTGATGAGGGTTATTTTCCAAACCGTTACTAGTATTCTTAAACTTAGATCGTTCTTAAGAAATGAATAGACCTATTCTTTAGATTTTAATTTTATCTTCCTATTCTCCTCGTACCTGAATTATTATAGAGTATTATTTTTTGTTCTTTTTCAATTTCAAATTTGGGTTTACATATTTAAACGTGTAGCTTATAAGTATGAGAAATGTAGCATTACTTAGATTAAGTTTATTATTGTGCAGAACCTACTGTTATAAGAATGTATATTCTTTTTAAACAATAAAGAATTGAATTGAATTGAAATTGAAATACTACTACTACTACAGGATAGCTTATCATCTTAAAGCCTGTGTAGTTCAAATCTCAAGCCCCTCACTGTGTCAAAGCATCAGTGATGATGTGAGCAGCATGTCGTTTCTCGCCTTGATGTAAGGTGTTTGCACCACAAGTTATGATTCCGTGGACTTTTGCTTTAGTGCCAATTTATGGACTGACTGGTAAACGTCTGGTTGTTATTTAGCAGGTACTTTCTATGCACTAGAGAATAGAAAGTACCTGCTAGGTAACAACCAGACACTTACTAGTTGGTCCATAATTTGGCCCTTATGCATACTGGGTTTTAACATTAATTAACATTTTAAAACAACTCATTTTTGAATCTCGTTCGCATCTTCTTTTTCTATTATGTTGATCAAAATTAAATAATATTTGTCATCATAAATTTAAATTCTAAACTAAGACCGCTGGCACAAGCAGCTGACGACTTAGTTAATGACGTCGACAATGGTGCTACATCATGTGATTGCGATTACCAAAAACGAGGCCGATAAGCAATCCTTTAATAGTGTGTACTATCCCTGGGGTAAACCACCCTGGAATTAATAAGTATGCATTCATTTCATATGAAGTATTTGACCTTGAAATTCTACAAAATTTTCGCCTGCGGCGCAATTTTTTTTCTGGCACCCCTATGGTCATGTGATATGTCTAAATTTGAATAGCAAAAACCCCCCATATGAATTTTCTGGCTATGCACCTGATCACTACTCTTTAACAGTCGCAACTGGAACAGGGGGGTCAGGCTATGACCCCAGTTTATTTTTTTTAGCATTACTTACTCATTTTTACTTTTTTTTCAAAAACCGTTTAGGACTTTTATTTTTCATCGGTTTTTTCAACCCGTAGACATAAAATTTGTTGGGATTGGTAAAATTTTTGACCTTCGCCAGACGTTTTTATTACGCATACAGTCATTTGCGAGATACAAGATGAGGGCCAATGGCGGTTTTTTCAATTTGATTGATATAGTTGCCTATAATTCCTACATTCTTTTTATAGAAGCCAATGAGAATTGGGCAAGAGATAATCCAAAACAAAAATCTAGCAAAAAAGTTCTTCTATAAAATGCTCAGGCTGTTATGTCAAATTGATATGAGTAATCGCTCAAGCTATAGAGGACTTCAAAATAAATATACAGCTACTTTGAAAATTAGTTTTGAATAAGATACTGAATTTTTTCACTTTTTTTTTACAAATCACGTACCCGGTGAGTCGCTAATCCCCCTGCTTCGAATTCAAAAAAACCTGGGGTCAGTCGCTAACCCCCCTGTTCCATGTTTTCCGGGTACCCAGTTAGGGTCGCAGTGCGACTGTTAATGTTATAATGTTCGATTTGTATTGTTTGTTCTGCAACAATATAATCTGGCTACACTGTAGCCACGAGCTGCGCGTGCATGTCATCTTTTATTACTTTCTAACTTGTATTTATTACAATTAAGCTCTCTTTTTCTATTTATGCGAGACAGGTCAATTGACTTTAGGACGAATTAGCGTACGACGAATTGATGGTGACCCGTCGAAGAAGACTTGCCAGTGTTGCATTCCGTAGAATATTTATGCAGCATCATGATTATGGAGTCGTGTATCGTCCATTTTTATCATGTTACCTTAATTATTTGGCAACGTTGTGTATTCCCCTCTTCCAAGTAAGCGTTTTCTTGGATCCTCGGGTCGGTGAGAGGGGAATCTGCTAGAGCACGCTTTTTCTCTGTTCTTATTCCACTGAAGTCTTTGCCTATTAAATGGCCATCTCTTTCTATATGGCACTGGCAGACAAGACCACAGAAGGAATACAGACTGGGCTGGGTTTGGTAATTGCATCTGCAAGCAATAAGAGCAAATTTTGACGGACGTCACGTGATCGCTTATATTTTTTTATGTGTCAAATTTTGCTCATTTTGCTCGCAGATGCAATTACCATACCCAGCCACAGAAAGAAAGATCTGGGCTGGGACTCTGTAACAAATAGAGATATTTTCTCTATCTCTATTGACGTCCCATTTCTATTGATTTCGAAAAGAGAGAAGACAGCGAGTGCCATAGTGATAGTGATAACGACCTCTATCGAATTAACGGCGGAAATATCAGGGGCGCACACTGGTACCGAATGTCAAGTTATAAAGTACCACCCTCAAAAACGTTACAGGGGGTGGTACTTTATAACTTGATAGCTCGTACAACCTTCTTTTGCCGGTAACATCGTCAAGAATACTGATACAGCTAACTGGTGACACGCTATCACTGAAAATTTATGACTTCCTCTATGACCATCGAATCTCTCTTTCTGTTTTCATTCTGATTGTTTGTTATTTTGTGGTAAGACGTTGTATTGCCTATCGTATAGAGCGACGCGGGTTGTGAGACGTCAGGGGAAATAATTCTAGTGGGGTGTAGATTTTAGATTTTTGGTTTCACCCTTTCGAGCCCATACTCTACACTGCAGCCTTTATAGGCTTTTTGTATGTCATTCGTATGGGCTCTACTCCTTCTCATTCATACTTCTCTCATTCATACTTCTCTCATTCATACTTCTCATTCATACTTGCAGATCAGATGATTGGCGGCAGTGCGGTCGACCCACCGTCCCGTACTACTGCGGTCACCCATCCAATCTCCAACCCGACACCGCGTTGCTTGGCTTTGAGTAGGGCGTCCTGTCGTCCTTTATTAAAGCGCCAACGTGCCGGTCAGTGGCGTGTATATTTATTCGATTAATAAATAGGTACCCTAATCAATAGCTTGTATTCAATTTGCCAACTGCCACTAATTAAGACTATTTTTTTTAAATAGTGTTTTTTTTTGTACCATTTATGTGACTGCGCAAAATTGTACTTTGTGAACATTTGACAACACCGCAATTTACTATGTGTAATGACATCATAATGTGACGTGAATCATTTTGAAAAAAAAATTGACTCAAAATAAATTTTCGTTTTCGACCGTGCCCTGTATGTTCATCCAACTTAATAATTGTGGGGGGATAAGCGATGGCAATTTGTTGGTTAATGGCAGGACATCATAAAGTCTGTTCCCATAGGAATCACAAACTAGTCCGAACGAATTTCATTGGTTGAAAATAGTCACAAAACTGGTTTTTAATGATTTGGACCAATCAAAAACACTCTGACTGGTTTGTGATTTATGTGAGAACAGGCTTTTGGATGTATGTATTTTCACCTTATCATTGTGATTGGTAGAAAACAAATCCCTTTACCTTATGTGGAACATTCAGACATTTAGGGTGTTTATTTGCGCTGCATTTCTTGCTTCAATCAGATCTCTAAAGTACGGCATTCACTTTTCCGTATTAAAAGCTCTTATAATAGCAGTTCCTAGCAGTTCCTGATTTTTCTAGCAGGTAGAGCAAGTACAGATGAATACCCTGAACAACTGATCACGTTTCGTTCATTATCAGATGATACAAGTCACAACACTTAAGCTCCTTGGCCTTGGGCATTTTCCTAGAGATCTTACCAATCCATTCTCCAACAAACATCAGAAATGTAGCATGAAGAGACTTTCCTCGAAAAGGCCGTAGGTATTTGACTTAAAATCTGCTTTCATTTCTGACTCCTGTATCATACGCCAGTCAAAGACCAAAACATTAAATTTCTGTATAAATACTGTTAAAATTGAAATTTGACAATATGGTAAAATGGAAGACATGCGTGTTATCGGAAACTTGCGTTGTCGTAGACGCGCGAATACCTTTCCTCTCTTTTAAAAAAAGTTTATTTGACGAGTTTCGACTTTCAGGCCGAATAAATACCGGAAAACGGAAAACACGATGCCGGGTTTTAGCAGCGCGGGCACGTTCAAAATCTTTATCGGAAACCTCGCCGAGAAAACCAGCGTGTCGGAGCTGCGACCATTGTTCGAGAAATACGGCAAAGTGGTGGAATGCGACGTCGTCAAGAATTACGGTTTCGTCCACATGGAAAACGAGTCGGAGGGCCGGGAAGCCATCCAGCAACTGAATGGTCAAATGCTGAACGGGCAGTCGATGAAATGCGAGGCGGCCAAGAGCCGTAAAGCCCCTCAAACTCCGACGACCAAGATTTTCGTCGGCAATCTAACCGATAACACGAAAGCACCACAAGTACGGGAACTGTTTAAAAAATTCGGCACCGTAGTCGAGGCCGACATCGTTCGCAACTATGGATTCGTGCACCTCGAATCGTCGGGAGACGTGAACGAGGCGATTAAAGAGCTCAATGGTATGATGGTCGACGGTCAACCGATGAAAGTGCAAATTTCGACTAGTCGCGTACGTCAGCGACCCGGCATGGGCGATCCTGAACAATGTTACCGTTGCGGACGCGGCGGACATTGGTCTAAAGAGTGTCCCAAAGGAATGGGCCCGGACAGATTCCGCGAACGTATGTTTGGACGCGACCCCTATCCACCACCACCACCCCCACCATTTCTACGCGATCGGATGATGGGACGTTTTGGGGTAATATAACGCGAACTTTTTTTTTTATTTTATTTTAATATCAGTAGTAGGTATCACTTTTGCTTCAATAATGCTATTTTTCTTGGATTCAGTGTTATATGGAAATGTGAGTCAACCAACAGTAAGATAGGCATTACACAAATAGACAAGACCCCCATGGGTCAGTAGAGGTGAGCTGCTCGAGGTGGGTCATCAGAGGTGTATAGAGGATCCGCCTTCCCCCGTGTATCCGTCATTTACTTGACCGAAACAGGTGCAACTTGTTTATCTATCTATCTGTCTCTAAGCAAAGTCATAACAGGATAAAAAATATTATTCCATAACCTAATTGCCAATTGGAGGGGATACACCGGAGGTGGATCGTTCTCCTGTTCACTGTAATGTCTATCTGTGTTAATTAATATATCATTGGTGTCTATTCTTTAGAGTTTAAAGTAGGGTTGTGCTGTTTGAAATTTTCAAATGAAATTTTCATGTTTGAAATATTCAAATGTGAAATTTCCAATATTCGAAATTTACCCAACCCTAGTTCAAAGTAACAAGAACTATGATACCTGGTGTGATGATGTGATCCAGTTAAAATAGTAATGATTTGAGTATCTCTGTCAAAATAATTACTTAATGATGGTACTTCAAGAATGAAATGTCGCTCTAAAACTTTATTATTTTGGGAAAAATTTAGCTCTAACAGCCTTAAATTTTAAAATTTCATCTAAGCAACCACGTTTGCAAGACAGCAATGGTATTTTGGACACCCTGTATACACCAATCAAATGGTATCTTGTCCGAAACCAAAAATACAGTAACGCCACTGTCGGTATTGAGTGCCAAGTTTATACTTGTTCCCTGGGGGTTGTTAGTTTAGAATGGACACTTGTTACTATTTGACAAGGTTATCATGTCAATTCTAAACGTCCAAGACTTTCTTAAGGTCCGAGAAAACCTCAAGGAGTGACTATATAAGAGTTATCATTCTGTATAACAGATTACTTTTGATCTTATCATAAAGCCTCTGAAGTAAAAAAAAGCCTTTGTAACTCCAACACTGAAATAGTTATTTGCTTCAACCACTGACAGTGGCATTGTTTTTAGAAAAAGTAACTCCTTTATCTTTGGCAGTCAGTAATCAGTATGAAACAAGACATTTACAGGTGACTTTGTTATCACACCAGAAGTCACCTGTAATACCGACATATCTAATGACAACGTCTACGTCTTATTTATCATTAGGACGCCTACGATGGTTACTACGACAGACGTTTCCCGGAAGACACTCGCGACTTGTACGAGCGTCGCTACTCGAGCATGCCGTCGAGATCGGAAATGGCGCTGCGCAGCGGCAGAGACTTTTTGCCGCCGCCGTTGCCGCCGAGGCGCGAGCCTTTGCCTCCGATGCCGTCGATCGGGCTCAGAGGCTCTTCGTCGTCCAGCATGAGCTCGCGCATGGCCGAGCCCAGCTATTCGCGCAGCGCGGCCGCTGAGTACAGCATGTTTAGTAGGCGTTCGCCGCCTCCGAGCAGTTCGATGAGCGGTGCTAGGATGAGCAGGATGTATGAGGATTTCAGTCGGGATACTTTCGAAGATAGAAGGTATATTTATAGTAGATGAAAATTGAATTTAGTTGAAAATGGTGTTTGATTTTTAGGCCTTCGATGAGAGGCTCGTCTCCGCCTAGAAGATACGCACCTTATTAACGTGTAAGCTGAATTAGATGATGTGTATTTTTTTTTTGTTCTATGTAATCTGCATATTATTGGATTTTATGCAATCGTTTTTAAATTATAATAATTACTATTTAATGTCTAGGAGGAATCTATTTAGCCGTAACTGTTTTTTTTTTTGTCTTTCAATAAGTGACCAAAATTTTGATTTTATATATTTTCATTATTTGTGATTTATATTGCAATATAGTACACGTGCGACTATGGATTTGTTGTTTTATTTAGGGTTTATATTGTCTGGCCAGTGGATCGAAAGCTATGGATGAAATGTTCGATGTTGCCATGTTTAATTACTTATTATTATTATTATTATAGGTTTGAGCAGCAGTAAGCGGCAACCCCGATGAGACTACTGTTGTATTGTTATATCCTTGTTTTCACTGTTATGAGTCACATGTAAATGCACAAAATTCAGTTTAGCTCTCTCTAGGCCCCGGTCAAGTCTGTTTTTGAATGCGTTCTTTGAAGGAGTACTGACTGTGCTTTCCTGAAGGGCGTTCCACTGATAGACAACCTTATTCATCAGAAAATTCTTTCTTTCTGATCAGCTTCGAACATCTCTCCTTATCCAGCTTCTTGGTATGGTCTCGGAGTTGCTGGTTAGTATTTAGACTGAAAATGTCCAGTTGCAATTTGCAAATCTGAAAAATAATGGTGATTTAGGATTTTGTAAGTCTCAATCAAGTCCCCTCTATCTCATCTAGCTTTTAGGGTTGTTATGTCATATCTTATTAGTCTTTTTTCGTATGAGAGATTTCTGATTTCAGGGGGGAGTTTTGTCACTCTACGTTGAATTTTTTCCAAGATATTAATGTCCTCAACCAGGTATGGGCTCTAAGCCGAATGTGGATTTCTGGAAAATTCTTGTAAAATAACAACTGAACTCCAATTTAGGTCTTATATATATATATATATGTTGCTAATCATGGGGAAGCTTTCTTTATGAGATATACAAAAGAGTTTGTCCTCTTGACAACTGAAGAAATATCGGCTTCCTATTTTAGGTGATTTGAAATAATGACACTCAGATTTTTTTGCTCAGTGACAGCCTTCACGGAAGTGCCGTTTAAGCTGTAAAGTATGTTTGGATCGTTATGGCCAATGTGCAGTATAGTTGGGGTTGAGTGATAGCTGCCATTCGCTGATCCATTTCTCAAGTGTTTTCAGGTTGTGATGCTCCAAGCACGGATTGTAGTATATTTTTGTGTCATCAGCATGAAAAATGATGTTTGTCTTTATAAGAGAATGAGAATCGCTGATGTATACGGTAAACAGCATTGAGTGGCCCCAACACGGACTTTGTATTCATCAGAGTAATGCCCATTTGCTCCCACTTGAAGGGTTCGGTTTTGTAGAAAACTGCCTATCCATCCAAGGAGCTCATCCATGATTCCATGATGTAGTTTGAATAATAACCACATTGTCAAATGCCTTCTCATAGTCTAGATACCAAATGGACATTGCCCACTTCTTTCGTCCATGAGTTTATGTAGATGAGTAGGTTGGTTGTGGTAAATTGGTGGGGGAGTAATCAGTGTTGGGTGGGTGGGATGGTCTTGTTTCTAACAAGGAAAGATGTCATTTCCTGAACTATTATTTTTTTCCAGGATCTTGCACGAGGTTACAGGTAAGGCTACTTGACTGTAAGAGGCCAGTTATCACTGGATTCAACGTCCTTTGACAATTTATTTAAAAAAATGGTGGTATTTCATCCAGGCCTGGACTAGATTCTCTTTCCAGAGTAGAGATTGCTTGAATAACCTTTTTCTTAGTGACATCACTATGGTTGTTAATGATTCAATAGATCTAGTATTTTGCAATAGCGATGGACAATTTACTAGGTTTTCTCTGGTGTATATACCTTCACAAAGTGATCCGCGAATGTGTTATTGTTAGCTGTCTTCAGGATCAGAGATACACTCCCATCCCAGAAATATCGACTTACATTGAAATATCCAAATTCCGCACGCAGTTGGTTATTTTATGAATAAAATCAGCCACGTTTTATGCGATGCTTCGTAGCTTCAGATTCATTGGCTAGACAATACTTTGGCCCACAGGCATTCCAATAATGGAAAAATTCAAAATCGTGGAAACGCGCCAGACGATGACGTATTAATTAGCATAATACCAATCAATTTTATGAAAAGTTTTACGAATCGCGAAATTCTTGACAGTAGGACGATAAAAATTTTATACAATTTTTATGGAGAGCAATTTGAAAGACGCATCACGTAACGTCACGTTTTGGCAAATTTCGTTACACGACAGAGAAAAAAAAATAACGTAGAGAGACAGCCAATGACAATGACAGCCGACGAACGATTGACACAAACCAAGAATTATAAGTAAAGAGGATTGCCTATTATTGTCAGGCGCTGATACCCTTGTAACGTCATTACAGATGAGCATTTTCTTTTGTCTTTACCCCGACTAAAAGTTGTATGAGGGGGGATAGTTTTCAAGTGAAACTTCTTAGTAGATGGCGGTCTGACATTTGCACGAGAATGGAGAGTGAATTAAAAGATGCGTTACTTTAAGGCTCGTTTTGTTACACGAGAGAGAAAAAAATATAATGTAAACAGCATCCGCATCTCCCTTTCCTGCGGTCCTTTGTCTCAAACCCCCACTCGTGCGCTAATTCTAAAGTTTCAGTTGCTCCAAGAAGGAATAAAGTAGGAAGCATTGTACAAGTAAGAAAGAGAGCCACATATTCACTAAATACTAGGTGATGAAAAATAATAGAGAGTGTGACGCATAATACAATCTGAGAGAGCGACGTAAAGTCCGTCGATTTTAATCTGATACTCGGACGGAATGTGAGATAGTGGCTCCCTACGTTAGAACGCCAATGGTCACCTGACATCACACCTGTTTTTGCCCTATGAAACACCCCCTCACTGCTCATACGGAAAGTGTCAGATTAAGAACGATGAACAATACACCTATGACGTAGAATCCTACCGTGACCTGAATGTCAAAAATACAAAGACAAAATAAAACAACCACAATTTTTAAACCCATTAAGGTATACAGTTTTTATTACAACTTTTTACACGGTCTTTTATTTTTTAAATACATCAAAAACACAACATCCAATATCAGTCTTGCAATAAAAACGAAACAAAAATCAAAAAAGAAGAAATTAAATTACATCATACACATTCAATCAAGACAATTTTTAATTAAAAAATACTTTTGTTTAAACTAAAATAGAAATTGTTACAATAATAATAATAATAATCTAACAATTAAATGCACATTTTCTAAACAGTCACTCGGCCCTTTAGTTAAATAAGGCCTGATTTATTCATCTTTAGATAAACTTGCTTATGTTGCAGATAGTTCTATAATGCTATTGGTCAGTGGATAACTATCCCACTCATGGGATTACAAATCATACCTGTCAGTTTATCAAAAGATGAATAAACCGGCCCTAAAAGAATAAACTTTATATTAATTTACACATAAATAAATCCTGAACAAAAAAAAATTGGACATTATTTATCTTTGAGCAACTCTTGCTATGTATGTGTGTGTATGTGATTAACAAGTGGAATTTTATAATAATTTATTCAGGACTTTATATTTCGACTGGATGGCACTGGTCTATAATAGGAATCGTCTATGGCAAAAAAAAAAATGTCACATTTGGTACGGCGTTTTTCTTAATTAATATATCAAGGACACAGTTTTCGGGTTATTGTTTTTGTATTTTTATAATTATTTTAGTATATTGTCAAGTCGTTTATATACATACAGTGGGTGAATAGTCTTCCAAGTTTACAACTCAATGAAGACTAATCAACACCTCCAAAAAACCAAATTACAAAGTACTCCACTCTTTTAAATATTTACAACTAAAATTCTATATGTACACAAAATATGTACAATAAAGCTCATTATATAGTCTAAACAATTTTTATACTAACATCAGGATCCAACTTGGACAAAGTCTTTTTAACCCTTAACGAAGTCAATCGGACATCTGGGTTCGAATGCCAACACTCCTGCATCAACTTAGACAAAGTCTGAAGCACCTCTTCACTCTCCCATCTCTGAGGCAATTGGGGCCTAATTTTTTTCACACAAACAACCTGCTGCATGTCTTCAAAACTAGGATCGCTAGGCACGCAATCGAAAAAGGGCACCTCATAATCGTCCACAATTTTTAATTTGTCCCCTGTTGCGCACCTGCGGGACATTTCCCAAAACACTAAGCTTAAAGCGTACATGTCTGCCTTTTTGTGGGCTTCAAATTCTAAAGAATTTATAGATTTGTCCAAGATTTCGGGTGCCATATAGCGTCGGGTACCACTTCGGATGTTTGGTGGAACATCGATTTCGTTTGTGTCACTTAGGAATTTCACTGCTAAACCAAAATCTGCTATGCAACATTCCCCATTTCTCTTTACTAAAATGTTTTTGCTTTTAATATCTCTGTGGGCTATTGCAGGTTTGCCTCGAGTACTAAAAATCTCTGTATGCAAATGGGACAAGCCACTAGCAATACTTTTAGCCATTACAAGCAAACTATTTGGATCCAAACAGTGGTCTTGTAAATAATCATACAAAGACCCATTCTCGTGAAAATCAGTTATTAACAACATCTGAGTCCAGCCAGTGCCTTTAATATCAGCCGCAATAAAGCTTAGAATGTTTTCATGCCTCATCAAAACAGTTTGATAAATTTCGGTTTCCCTAAACCAACTTTGCTCTTCGGTTGTTAGAAATACTTTTACCGCAACCTTTTCGCCTCTCCACCTTGCAAGCCACACTTCACCATATCGGCCTTTACCCACTGATTTGACCATTTGAATTTGCTTAGAAATCGTCCTTTGTACTAATATAGGCAAGCCTGATCCAGACCCACTCGATTGTTCGATTAGACTGGACAAAGGTCCGTGCACTTCCATGTTGGGGAACTTTTCAGGTGCGTACCCTTTGGAGTAAACTTCCTTCTTACGGTACTTCATGTAAACGAAGGCTATACATAAGAGGAATAAGGTGAGGCAAAATGTTACAGAAGTGAGGAGTACTATGTAGGGGAGGTTATCGGTGGTACCGAAAGTGGGCACGTCAGTGGTGGGCCTTGGGGTGTACATGGGTTTGAGGTCTCTGTTGCAAAAGTCTGAATCGTCGCAGCACTGGATGCTTTTGCTGTCTTGGTGTGGTACCAAGTCACCTTTACACTGAAAAAAAAATTATCGGAATTAAAGCTACAATATTTTTGATTGTGTAGTGGATCTTTATTTCCCAACTTGTAATAGATCAATATTTCATGTATTATTAGCATTGAGGTTGTCAAGAAACACTCTAGCGGGGAATTTAGGAGTTATTGAAGGGTCAGGATAGATTTTATTATTATGTTTTTATGAATGATATGGAAAATGTTAATTTCAAGACCCTACAAGTTGAGAATCAGCCACAATTATTGAGAGAATAAATTCTTACCTGCATAAGGCTACCTTCATCAGGGGGCAGGCACCCATATCGGCGTACCGGGTACTCTTCTCCATCTTCAAAGTAGGCTTCGACGTTGGTGAAGCATTTGCCGCCGATTCGTACCTCGCAGGTACCGTTGATTTGGCCGTTTGGACAGTGGCCTTCGCAGTAGCATCTCCTAACTGCAAAAAAAATGAGAGTTTAGATTTGGTACTCTTGGGGTGGTACTTCAATAAGGATTATAAATCATGAGTTCAATTTTTCCTAAATAATGTAAGGTACTGCATTGGTAGCAAAAATTACAAAAGTTTACAATTTAAGTGTGACTTTTCCTGCAATTTGCAGTATTGCAGTTTTAGAAAACTATAGGCTGATGACCTGTATATTTTTATACAAAAACTGCAGGATTGCATGATTATTTGAGAATAATTTTATGCAATGACAATAACATTGTATTGTTAAGAATTTTACAAAGAATTAAAAAAAAAAATCATAATTCTATTTCTGAGGCTCAGATTGACTTCAGAATTGTTGTATTTGAAGAAAAGACTTCAATTATGAATTTTTGAAAGTTTGAAGTTCCTCAGATTCCTGAAAGTATTTTTTAAAAAATTCCAAAGTTGTTTTGTTAAGAATTTTACAAGGATTTTTAAATAAATTCATAATTCTATTTCTAAGGATCAGATTGACTCCAGATTTCCTGTGTTTGAAGAAAATACTTTAATTATGAATTCCTGAAAGTTTCAAGCTCCTCAGATTCCTGGAAATATTTTTGAAAAAATTCCAAAGTTGATTTGTTGAGAACTTCACAAGGATTTTTAGAAAAAAATCATAATTCTATTTCTGAAGTTCAGATTGACTTCAAATTTGTTGTATATGAAGAAAATACTTCAATTATGAATTTTTGAAAGTTTCAAGCTCCTCAGATTCCTGGAAGTATTTTTAAAAAAATTCCAAAGTTGATTTGTTAAGAATTTCACAAGGATTTTTAGAAAAAATTCATAATTATATTTCTGAAGTTCAGATTGAATTCAAATTTGTTATGTTTGAAGAAAATACTTCAATTATGAATTTTTGAAAGTTTCAAGCTCCTCAGATTCCTGGAAGTATTTTTGAAAAAATTCCAAAGTTGATTTGTTAGGAATTTTACAAGGATTTTTAGAAAATTTTCATAATTATATTTCTGAAGTTCAGATTGACTTCAAATTTGTTGTATATGAAGAAAAGACTTCAATTATGAATTTTTGGAAGTTTCAAACTCTTCAGATTCCTGGAAGTATTTTTGAAAAAATTCCAAAGTTGATTTGTTAAGAATTTTACAAGGATTTTCAGAAAAAATCATAATTCTATTTCTGAAGTTCAGATTGACTTAAAATTTGTTGTATTTGAAGAAAAGACTTCAATTATGAATTTTTGAAAGTTTGAAGTTCCTCAGATTCCTGAAAGTATTTTTTAAAAAATTCCAAAGTTGTTTTGGTAAGAATTTTACAAGGATTTTTAAATAAATTCATAATTCTATTTCTAAGGATCAGATTGACTCCAGATTTCCTGTGTTTGAAGAAAATACTTTAATTATGAATTCCTGAAAGTTTCAAGCTCCTCAGATTCCTGGAAATATTTTTGAAAAAATTCCAAAGTTGATTTGTTGAGAACTTCACAAGGATTTTTAGAAAAAATTCATAATTCTATTTCTGAAGTTCAGATTGACTTCAAATTTGTTGTATATGAAGAAAATACTTCAATTATGAATTTTTGAAAGTTTCAAGCTCCTCAGATTCCTGGAAGTATTTTTAAAAAAATTCCAAAGTTGATTTGTTAAGAATTTTACAAGGATTTTTAGAAAAAATTCATAATTCTATTTCTAAAGTTCAGATTGATTCCAAATTTGTTATGTTTGAAGAAAATACTTCAATTATGAATTTTTGAAAGTTTCAAGTTCCCCAGATTCCTGGAAGTATTTTTAAAAAAATTTCAAAGTTAATTTATTAAGAATTTCACAAGAATTATTAGAAAAATTCATAATTCTATTTCTGAAGTTCAAATTGACTTCAAATTTGTTTTATTTGGAGAAAAGACTTCAATTATGAATTCTTGGAAGTTTCAAGCTGCTCAGATTCCTGGAACTTTTTTTGAAAAAATTTCAAAGTTGATTTGTTTAGAATTTTAAAAGGATTTTTAGAAAGAATTCATAATTCTATTTCTAAAGTTCAAATTGACTCCAAATTTGTTATGTTTGAAGAAAATATTTCAATTATGAATTTTTGAAAGTTTCAAGCTCCTCATATTCCTGGAAGTATTTTCGAAAAAATTCCAAAGTTGATTTGTTGAGAACTTCACAAGGATTTTTAGAAAAAATTCATAATTCTATTTCTGAAGTTCAGATTGACTTCAAATTTGTTGTATATGAAGAAAATACTTCAATTATGAATTTTTGAAAGTTTCAAGCTCCTCAGATTCCTGGAAGTATTTTTAAAAAAATTCCAAAGTTGATTTGTTAAGAATTTTACAAGGATTTTTAGAAAAAATTCATAATTCTATTTCTAAAGTTCAGATTGATTCCAAATTTGTTATGTTTGAAGAAAATACTTCAATTATGAATTTTTGAAAGTTTGAAGTTCCTCAGATTCTTGGAAGTATTTTTGAAAAAATTCCAAAGTTGATTTGTTAAGAATTTTACAAGGATTTTTAGAAAAAATTCATAATTATATTTCTGAAGTTCAGATTGACTTCAAATTTGTTGTATATGAAGAAAAGACTTCAATTATGAATTTTTGGAAGTTTCAAGCTCTTCAGATTCCTGGAAGTATTTTTGAAAAAATTCCAAAGTTGATTTGTTAAGAATTTTACAAGGATTTTTGAAAAAATTCATAATTCTATTTCTAAAGTTCAGATTGATTCCAAATTTGTTATGTTTGAAGAAAATACTTCAATTATGAATTTTTGAAAGTTTGAAGTTCCTCAGATTCTTGGAAGTATTTTTGAAAAAATTCCAAAGTTGATTTGTTAAGAATTTTACAAGGATTTTTAGAAAAAACTCATAATTATATTTCTGAAGTTCAGATTGACTTCAAATTTGTTGTATATGAAGAAAAGACTTCAATTATGAATTTTTGGAAGTTTCAAGCTCTTCAGATTCTTGGAAGTATTTTTGAAAAAATTCCAAAGTTGATTTGTTAAGAATTTTACAAGGATTTTTAGAAAAAACTCATAATTATATTTCTGAAGTTCAGATTGACTTCAAATTTGTTGTATATGAAGAAAAGACTTCAATTATGAATTTTTGGAAGTTTCAAGCTCTTCAGATTCTTGGAAGTATTTTTGAAAAAATTCCAAAGTTGATTTGTTAAGAATTTTACAAGGATTTTTGAAAAAATTCATAATTCTATTTCTAAAGTTCAGATTGATTCCAAATTTGTTATGTTTGAAGAAAATACTTCAATTATGAATTTTTGAAAGTTTGAAGTTCCTCAGATTCTTGGAAGTATTTTTGAAAAAATTCCAAAGTTGATTTGTTAAGAATTTTACAAGGATTTTTAGAAAAAACTCATAATTATATTTCTGAAGTTCAGATTGACTTCAAATTTGTTGTATATGAAGAAAAGACTTCAATTATGAATTTTTGAAAGTTTCAAGCTCTTCAGATTCCTGGAAGTATTTTTGAAAAAATTCCAAAGTTGATTTGTTAAGAATTTTACAAGGATTTTTGAAAAAATTCATAATTCTATTTCTAAAGTTCAGATTGACTTCAGATTTGATGTATTTGGAGAAAAGACTTTAATTATTAATTTTTGAAAAAATTCCAAAGTTGATTTGTTGAGAATTTTACAAGGATTTTTAAAAAAATTATAATTCTATTTCTGAAGTTTAGATTGACTTTAGATTTGATGTATTTGGAGAAAAGACTTTAATCATCAATTTTTGAAAGTCTGAAGTTCCTGAAATTTCTGAAAGTATTTTTGAAAAAATTCCAAAGTTGATTTGTTAAGAATTTTACAAGGATTTTTAAAAAAATTCATAATTCTATTTCTAAAGTTCAAATTGACTTCAGATTTGATGTATTTGGAGAAAAGACTTGGATCATCAATTTTTGAAAGTTTGAAGTTCCTGAAATTCCTGAAAGTATTTTTGAAAAAATTCCAAATTTGATTTGTTGAGAATTTTACAGGGATTTTTAGAAAAAAATCATAATTCTATTTCTGAAGTTCAGATTGACTTCAGATTTATTGTATTTGAAGAAAAGACTTTAATTATGAATTCCTGAAAGTTTGAAGCTCCTCAGATTCCTGGAAGTATTTTTTAAAAAATTCCAGATTTGATTTGTTAATAATTTTACAAATATTTTTAAAAAAATTCATAATTCTATTTCTGCAGTCCAGATTGACTTCAGATTTGTTATATTTGAAGAAAAGACTTCAATTATCAAGTTTTGAAAGTTTGAAGTTCCTTAGATTCCTAAAAGTATTTTTGAAAAAATTCCAAAGTTGATTTGTTAAGAATTTTACAAGGATTTTTAGAAAAAATTCATAATTCTATTTCTGAAGTTCAGATTGACTTCAGATTTGTTGTGTTTGCAGAAAATACTTTAATTATGAATTCCTGAAAATTTCAAGCTGCTCAGATTCGTGGAAGTATTTTTGAAAAAATTTCAAATTTGGATTTGTTAAGAATTTTACAAGGGTTTTTTAAAAAATTCATAATTCAATTTCTGAAGCTCAGATTGACTTCAGATTTGTTGTATTTGAAGAAAAGACTTTAATTATGAATTCCTGAAAGTTTCAAGTTGCTCAGATTCCTGGAAGTATTTTTGAAAAAATTCCAAAGTTGATTTGTTAGGAATTTTACAAGGATTTTTAGAAAATATTCATAATTCTATTTCTAAAGTTCAGATTGACTCTAAATTTGTTATGTTTGAAGAAAATACTTCAATTATGAATTTTTGAAAGTTTCAAGCTCCTCAGATTCTTGGAAGTATTTTTGAAAAAAATTCCAAAGTTGATTTGTTAAGAATTTTACAAGGATATTCAGAAAAAAATTCATAATTCTATTTCTGAAGTTAAGTTTGACTTCAAATTTGTTGTATTTGAAGAAAAGACTTCAATTATGAATTTTTGAAAGTTTCAAGCTTCTCAGATTCCTGGAAGTATTTTTGAAAAATTTCCAAAGTGAATTTGTTAAGAACTTC